TTGAGTGCGTAATGAAGGCCGTGGTTGGAATGGACGCTACTCGTAGGGTTCGAAAAATGCAGCTTTGTGTGTAAATCATATACACCAGTGGAGCTACAAAGAAAATTGTTGTATGTACACTGTAGAAGATTTGTGGGAAAAAATTCGTCCTCTTTCTAGCAAGGCACATAACACTATTTTGTTGCGTTTCCACCCGGTAAATGAACAACAAAGGCAAACAAATGAGTAGGCTGCAACTCCAAATTATGATAAGTTTAAAGTACTGTTTCTCTGGCCATCTTTTTACTAGAGCGTTGATTGGATTCGAAGTAACCTTCAGTCTTTCGTAGCTTATAGTCAAAAGCGTGATGATTGTACTTGTGTAACTTGCTTCAATTAAGAATCCTTGTAGTTTGCAAGTGATGTTACCACCAACCCATTGCCACAGAAATGCGATACTGTTGAATATGGTTAAGATTGTGAAGCAGAGATCGGCAGAAGCCAGATTTGCCAATAGCCACATAAAAGGGGAGTGTCTTTGTTTCAAAGTCTTGTAGCAGGTTACCAGGACCCAGATGTTTCCAACTGTTGATAAAATAAAAACAAAACTGTAGAAACCACTGAACAGAACCACAAGGATTGAAGAAAAAGAATCACTCCTCTCCATGTATGGTAGTTTGGTCGGCTGATTTCGGTGAAACCGTAGGTTTCATGTAACGTTTAAGGACAAATCTGACTTTTTGGTCTATATAAATTTTGTTCGAATATTCGAGGATCAAAGAGATAAATTCAACCTTGTTTTATTTGGAGTTCTGTGTCCTGTTTTCAGTGTCTTCAAAAGCAACCTGAGGCGATGAGACTTTCCTATTTATCCTGATCAATCAGCTTGATAAAAATTAAAAGCCCTCGATCATTTTCCAATAAAGTTGTTTTTTTGAGCAAATAACTACTTTAGAGCTGACGTTTTGAGAGGCTTTTCGTGCTGCTGTTTTAAAATTAAATTGACAGTCCCTCTCGAATTTGCATTTTTATTAATATACCGTGCCAAACTGAAAATAAGTGACATTATTGTTCACTTAGAAACATATCCCGTACTGGTCCCGCTGGCGACTAAGCTTCCGTTGAATGTGGCTTTAGGGAGAACCCTTTTAGAGATTGTTTCAAACAGAGTAATCTTTCACTGACGCGATTTTAGAACATCCGTGCGTCTATAATTGACGCTTTGAAAACTATGTCAGAGTTAATTTAAATGATAAGGTTTTGCTTCCACCAGGGCATAAAATTCTACACCATATTGGATCAGATAATCACAAAATAATTACTTCGACCGAACGTGCTGAAACTCTTTTGATTCCACGGGAATAATTTTGTTTTTTCTCATATTTCATCAAATCTTTACCTCCTATGACGAGGAACAAATTACCCAAATCACCCATTATTTCAGTGGGCGATAGCCTTTTTATCCTTAAAATTGATTTCCATAAACCCCTTTTTCATGAAATATGCAAGAACGATACTAAGTCTACTGCAATTTTTTTTCTAAAAGATCAATGAACGTTTATGGTATGGTAAATCATTGTTTTCTTATTTCCCTTTCGTGCATGATCAATCTAATCAAGTTTGGGCGGTATTCGGAGGAATCTCTGATGTTTCTTTCGAGATAATTAATGGGTGTACTGCAGAAATAACAAAATAACAGTAATGTTTATCCCAGCAATTCTCTAGTACATCACCTGCCACAAGATTCAACGGAAGATTTCATTCAAATCACGAAAAAATCATCAAGTAAATAACTTTGCTTAAATATCATGGATGGATAGCAGTCAATATCGAAACCTAATTAGTTTCGCTTACATAGTTTATTCTACTAATTTTCCTTTAACGTGCAACAATTAAAATGTGATTTTGTTGAACTTTCGCCGTTACTTAATAACTTCCGAAATGAAATGCTCAATATTCAAACGAGCTATGTACTTATTGATTCAATCGGCGAGCCGGAAGGGAAAATATTTGGCTCGAGGCCATGACATACGGACTGAGCGCAGCGAGAAGTATTATTTTCCTGTTCAATCCAGCCAAATTCAGTAATTAAGCAGTTTATCACATCACCAAATTATGTTTCAACTTTGATAGGACGCAAGAGAGGGGCACACGCAGGACAATCACAAAAAAGATTCTACAAGAAAAACTCTTCCCTAATTTTTTTCGAGGCAGGATAACTCCGAGAAACTTGTTTTCGCAGTTTCTGTTTTCCTTTGGTTTCAAATCCACAATTATAATACACGTTTTCACAAAAAAATTGAAAAATAAAGACAGCTATACGAGTGCAGAGCCAGATGGCTTTTTCCAGAACGAATCAGGTTACACCCCACGCATATAAGCCCTTATTCTGGTTTTCATACCGGAACTGGGTAAGCGGGGCGCGGGGCCGGACAGGTATTTATTACCTCATTATTTACCGTTTGTGAGGTAGCGGGAAGTTCATGGAATTTCTAAATCAGCTGAGGTAGATCTTCTTCTTACATAGTGGGTGAAATTAACTCCACCAACCCACTCATTTTCATGGATTGATAAACACCGCCTTCAAACACAACTCTCTTGTGCAACAAGAAACGGTGCGGTTGACTTATACTGTAAAAGCCCCCCCTAACAGGAACAGTGTATTGTCTGTAAGGGTTTGTACATACACTAGCTAACAGCCTCAAACTGCGCTGCCTAATTCCTCGAGATGTTACGAATGAAATTGGTTCCGAGAAATTGTAATATCTTTTGCTTCTATGTTCACGATTTAAGCCTAGCAACTAACTTATTCAGGCTCTCTCTCATTACTGAGTAAGTGTGTTTTAATTCTTCCTTTTCGTGAAAGATTATTGAAACTATTCGTGTCGTTAAATTCTCTTTATTATTCAATGTTCTAACACTTGACATAAGCTAATAATCCCTTGATTAAAGGCGTCAGTTATTTTAAATTTATAAGGGAAAATCGGTGAGTATTGAATTTTACTCTCTGGCTCTGTATTCATAAATGGGAATGATATACTTACTATGAAGTTCAATAACCCATTGACCCCCAGAAATGTTTAAAACGTAACCACTCCTTGAAATGTCAATACGTTATCCAGCTTGCAGGTGTTGAGAATATTCGAAATTATCAGGTCTTGCGCATAATTTTCGTAACTAATTTACAAGGAAATGTGTCGTAGCTAAGAGGGAGAATTAACAATCAGATCTTGGAGGTTTAAGGGTCAATGGAGTCATTTTGGGCTCTTGGAAACTCTGAAAGTTAAAATCTCACCATGAACTGGGTTTTCAGTCAAATACTTCGTGAAGTGAAGTCGTGAAAATTACGAAAAAATAAATTTTAACTTAACCTTAAGATTTTAATTATGCCTTGCAACGGGTTAAGCGGTGTCAAGCCATTACCACTCTATTGAAATTGCTCAATCATTCTCATTTGACAGTTTCCTTCCTTTGAGAAGCTCTCGATTTGGATAATAGTTTAAGCCAATAAGTTTAATGTTTTGATATTGTTGTGATAATTGTGCACCTTCCAATTTTAAGTAACTAATTACGTAAAAGTCTCGCTTGTGAGGAAGACTTCAGATGCCCTCCATAATAACTGTACAATAAAGGATCTAATATTATTGAGGAAGATTAAAAGCTGAGACATTTTCCAAGCGTAGCCAGACGATGTTGAGCTAAAGTACATTTGTGTTCGTATGACCATAAAAGGAGACCAATAGAGTACAAACGCTATCGTCAGAGTAAAGAGTGGCATGTCTTTGCAATCTTCCGTTGCCTTTGCATTGAGTGCAAAATAAAGGCTGTGTTAAGAATGGGCGCTACCCGCAGGACACGAAAAATGTGGCTATGTGTGCAAATCATGTACAGCAGTAGAGCCACAAAGAATATTGTTGCTTGTACACTACAGAAGATTTGTGGGAAAACAGGAAAAAAAACACTTCATGTATTTCCTTAGCCATTAGATATTAGTCTTTTCGTTAAGTGTCATTTTAAGAGCGGCTTCCTCAAGATGTCACTCATCATATGGTTCCTCCTTCCTACAAGTTAAGCCTTACCATCAAAGTTACTAAAAATAAATGACGTTACTTTTCTCAAAATGCAACAAAGCAAAAAATTAAACACTTTATGTACTTCCTTGTTCATTGAATGTTGGCTTTCCCATTAAGTATAATTTTAGAACTGACATCAGTGATGTGACAAGTCATATAGTTCCCCTTATACTATACTTATACTATACTTGACTAAAGATAAATTAAGTTTTTGTTTAACGAGCAAATACGCAGAGGCCATACTGTTTCCCATAGATTTGAGAATTTCCTTTCCATCGAGTGTCATTCAAACGAGTGGCCTCTTGATGAGGTCCTCAAACGTGAGCAACATAAATTTTTAGTTCAACATCTTCAAGAACACTTGTACATTTAGTTTTTGCAATATACCGACAATTAACAATTAGAAATAATGAGTTTTAGTAGGTACCACGCAGATAAATGGTGCTTTTGCGCCCGCTGAATGGCTAATTCGGAGATGATTAGAAAGTAGTTTTTACCCCCGGGTAGCCAAAGAGACAATGATTCGAACCCGTGGTCGAAGGTGAAGAATTAGAAGACCAGGCGTCGACACAGGAAAACAGAAGAGTTTAATGTTTACACTTTACATTGACAAAAAGTCAAAAATTCTGGTGCGCCCTTTTTCTGGTAATGTTCCCGTTGATTACACAATGATCCCTAGTTACGCACTAAAGGGCGTATATAAATGTGTCTGAATCCTCTCGGGATTAGTCCCAGTCCTCGCATAAATAAATTGTTTATTGGGCAAATCAGACAAATTCGAGTCAAGAGTTGCATTTCCAACCATTTTTCACTGCATTGACATAAACAGCTATTTTTTTTTGGCGGCTTAGTAAATATAAGCCACTTTCCCCGACGCTGAGGTGAATAATTTCAAATATTTGGAATTCAAATACTAATTTGACACCAAATTTAACACGTGGATGGTTTTATTTTTCATGATTAAACGTCTTCAAATGGGTAAAATATCTGTCGTCAGGTTCACTAATGAACTTTTTCCTCATCGAGAGTAATCAGAATTTTTCTTAATTTGTAAAAGAAAGGATTTAAAGCAAAATTGTCCTTTTACTTTCTTTAGGGATATTCGAAGCTCAGAAAGTTAAAATCTTGCTTTAAACTGGCTTTTGATTGAATTTTTTCAAATACATGGAAAAATCTATAAACTAAGTCATGAGATCGTGAATGGTGGTAGTGATATCTTGAAAAACCATTGGAAATCCCAAAGAGAAAAGAGATACACTTTGTTATTATATGAGCCTTTTTCCTTTTTTTCTCCTTTCTTTTATTTCTTGGGGGAAAATTTAGCCTTGATTCAAAAGCGATAATCGATGAAATTTCAGTCAAATGCTTGACGTCCTCCGAACGTGTTTCAATGGGGGTCCACTTTCCTCCTAATCAATTATGTGTTTTCGTAAGGTTTGCTCCCTGAGCTTTAAGAAAATCTACAGTGTTCTAAATGACCTCCCGAAAGCGTAAGGGCATAAGGCTGTTTTCACTTACGAAGAAGTCGGAGTCGTAATCAGATGTACTGAGTGATACGATCTAATGGAAATCAAACCTGACGGTATCGAAAGAAAACTACTGATGCCACTTACCACTCCATCAGATATACAATCCAGTGAAAACTATAGATGGTCATAGTCACAAGTGTAAGCCCAAGAATAAATTGATCAAAATATCTCAATGATTGGTTCGTTCTTCCACTCCTGACTGCGACTCTAACAGTCTAGTTTTTACTGGATCATAAAAGTCGCAGTCTTCAGCGAAATCGGAAGAAAATGAGAATGATTCTTCTGATTCCGATTCTGTTTCGTTAAGCTTATGACTCCACTTACGCACCTGGTCGGATGCGCGCTCTTACGACTCCGACTCCGTTGCGGGTGAAAAACTGCAGCCTTAGGATGGTGCACTCGGGTGACGTTTTCGGGGATATATTTCTGAACAATTCATTATATAATAACTTAGAGAAAAGTTCGATTTGTCTGAAATTGCTTTGTTTTTGTTTTACTTAAAAATTAAATTCTCGTCTTTGTTGGTTTAAGATACTCGCACCGCATTCAAAGCGAACATTTTCAAAACGGAAACCAATTGCAACTCGATTAAACACGTTTTCCATCGCTTAAATTAGCCAGTTTGATGTTATTACTTTCAATTCTGTTTGGCAGGTGTCAAAGTTATGTATATGTCGATGTTATCGTATTGAAAAGAAAATTGCGGCCGGGCAAAAAGACTCTCCTTATTATCCTGACCAATTACCTTAGTAAAATTTCCATTCGACTCAATTGCTGTTGTACAGTTTAACTGATCAGGAGTTTTTTTCGGAATATACATTTTGATTATACTATACCCAACTGATCTGTACGGCTGACATATGCTATACAAATCCTTTCATCGAATGGCGTTTCCACTGAGTGTCACTTCATTTGGCTCCTTTTTATGTAGTGCATTAACTAGATGGCTTTTTGTGCTTTGAAGAGACTTTAGCATGTAGACGTTAAATTTTCTGTCTGAAGTGATCAGATAATCATGAAATAGCGACTGCCACCGACCGTGCTGGAATATCTTTTATTATAAATACATATTTATATCTGTATTTTATTTATTTTTTTTTTGTTGATGAATTTTTTCACCTCGTGAGAGAGCAGACAAGCTGCCCATGTCATCTTCTATTTTAGACTGTGAAAGACTTAATGAAATATCCCGGCAGACAGAGGATTCAATTCATGTGAATGTCTGTCTCTCTCTCTCTTTTTAGTTTTTTTTTTCTGGTTGATTTGCCTCGTAAACATTTTTTCCACCTTTCCTAGTTTTATTCCACTTAAAGTTATTCTCCATGGCGTCGACGCTAAAAATTTGTTCAGAATATCGCGACGTACCAGTTCTAAAACCACCCAAACCTGTCTCCAGCTGAGTGCGCTTATTTGAAAAGGAAAAAACTAGACAACAAGGAAACTGATCAGTTAGTTCAATACTGTGCCAGCTGAAAAAGAATCATTCACATACTCACATCAGTTATGCCGGCTTCGCATCTAAGTTGAAACATGCACATTGCGGTGATAAAACACACGCATCAAAAGAGACTTATTTATTATTTATTATTTAGGTTCTATTAATTTGTTTAATCAGCTGATTTTGCAGTGGAAATAATGCTAATCGTTATTTTGTGACGATGACTTCAATTATATCGATCTCAGTTTAAGAATGGTGCTGTAAAGTTACTGTAAGAGTCACCCTTCAAAAAAAGAAGGCGAGAATTTTCATTTATAGTTCAAAATTGTATATCAGTTGTGAAAAGGGCTTGGCAAATGATTGAAGAGTCATAGAGACTGTGGTGTTTTCTCGAGGTTTACTGATACTTATTAGCCCAAAAATCCAGGAAACAGTGAAGACAAGATCAAGATGGCGGTTTTACATTCTAAGAACTTCAACCTCGTGTAAAATCAAAATTGATTGTTCATACTAAGACTTGATTTAGATACTACGCGATCTGTGATTGCTCCTTCCCAAAATTTATTAAAGAACAAGCCTAGTACTTACGTCATCTAAAAATGGTTATCTCTCTTTGGTTCAAAATGCTGTACAATTTCGAAAATGGTCTTGATATTATTCAGGATCGCCCATGTAAAGTTGCCGATAATGTAGGTGAGCCTGCAGCCATTTTTGAGCTAAAAAAAGGCAGTTCTAAGGCCAGAACTTAAACAATGTATCTGAAGAAGTTTAAATACTTTTGGTAACTTTCATTGTAACTTTGTGTTCAATTTCTAAAATGATCGTTTCCTAAGGTTACTCCTGAAATATTTTGGAGGCCTGTAAATAACCTCTCTACAAAATTAGCTAAAAAACATGTCTTTTAAATAGTTTCCGTGATTCCTGTTTCCATAGATTTATGTAGTAACAAATCGTAGAAAACACCAAAATTTGGAAAGAACACTGATGATGCACACGCCTGCGGCTCATGTGCCACTGTTTGGTTTAATTCGGCGTAGGACTGACTTCTATTCATATAATTCTATTAACAGACCTGGCCATGGGTAACAGTTTTTCTCATTGTTAGTTGCCATTTGGCTTTGAGTGGACCGACTGAGTTCTTCCAGAGCACGGGTTTGACATTTGGCACATGGAATAAAACGTTTTAAAATTGCCTTGAAGTTCTCACGTTCCCCATAGATACCGTAAAGAATTGGATCTAACATCGTGTTCAGGAAAATTAAAAGCTGGGATGCTCTCCAGATATAACCTTCATCTGCGAGATGAATGTAAATGAGCCCTCGCACACAGATGAAGGGCGACCAGCAGGCAGCAAATGCCATAGTTAGAACAAATAGTGGCTTCGCCGCCTTGAGATGCCGTTTAGAGCGCACTGTTGTAAAACTGTTTTGCTTTGGGAACACCTTGGTGCTCGAGCGTAAAGATATGAAGATTTTTCTTTGGACATAAATCATGTAGACTAGAGGGACGAAGAAAAAGAAAATCGTATGAATGCCATAATAGACTTGTCTTCCCAAATCTCCAAATTTATTGTTGGTGCAGGAAACCTTCCCGTTGGCATCGGTTTGGGTTTGGTAGGCAAAAAGTAATGGCGAGGCTATAACCACACTCATGCTCCAGGTGGCGATAAGCTTTCCATAAATACGCGCTGGAGTAATCGTTATTGTATGAAGTGGCTCGACCACTGCCTTGAGTCGTTCAAAGCTTATAATAGACAGAGTTGTTATGGATACTGTGTAGCAAGCCTCGATGAAAAAACTTTGCAGTTTGCAAGAGATCTGACCTCCAACCCATGTACGTGATAAATAACTAACGAGGTCCAGTATAGACAGGAACACAAACGTCAGGTCAGCAACAGCTAAATTAGCGATAAACCATTTTAATGAACCCACCTTTCTTTTTATTGATCGGTAACAAATTGAGAGGACAATAAAATTTCCCAAAACTGACAGCAAGAAAACTATAGAGTAAAAGGTTATACCGAATGGAACAAGTATTGCATGTAACTCTCCACTTGTCATTATTCGTGTTAATTCGTGTCGTGCCCACAATAGCGTACGCTTCAACCAACCACTATTCACTCGCTTTGTCAGCTCTTATCGCTTGACTATTTAAATGCATATACCCAATGTTCCATTCTTCTCAATCATACTTCGAGGTGAACCTGGCAATGAAACGACGATAATTAAAGCAGATTCTTTCCAAGACATCATTTTTTTAAAGTGCCATAATTGACATATAAATTCTGACGCAGCAGCCACCTTTTTGTTGTGATTAATATCATTATTCTTAAAATGTAAAAAGTTAAAACCCCGACTTCCTTTAATCTCCCATAGGAAAGACCCCCTCAACATTTTAGGGAAGAAGAAGGGAGGAACAAAAAGCAATTTCTGAATTTGTAGATTTTGATAACAACTTGTAATGAAATAAATTTGAATGATTGATCAAGTACAACAAAATCTACAATTCAAGCAAAGAAATGATCCTCCGGAGGTGTAATCCATTTTTAACAACTGCAGAAAGGAAACCTGAAGCAGCTCAGGCCCCTTTCGAAGCCTGACTTTTTTTCTTTTCTGCGATTGCTGAAAGTCGCAGTTCATCTGTCTGGATCCTTTCTTTACGCGATTTGTAAATTTTGTTGTTCTAGATATACAAACATTGAGCCTTATTGCTTACAAAATGAATAGTGCATAGTAAAATAGGTCTCTGTCTTCTGTCGCATACGCAAACTTCATATGCATGGAATCATGGAAAGAAATTTGATAATATGAAACCTCTTCCAGTTTGCAATCACAATCGTCCTTAATGTTTTTGCTCTCGCTGCCATGACTCATTAACACTGTTCAATGAAACGAGTCGCGTGCACACGCACTTATTTAACATTGACTGATGAGGGAAGCTGAATTTTGGTTATAGGAGAACATACCTTTGGCTTCGGGGTGAAAACATGACCCTTGGTTCTCAAATTTTTCTTTATAATTTAGCTTTATCCAGGAAAAATCTCTAGCCGGAGGGATTCGTCATTTCGAATGCAGTTTCTTTAATTGTTTCCCTCTCTTTATTTACTTCGAGTTTACGAATGTTTATTTTAAGGGACTTTTCTTGGCAGCATTTCATTGTGAGTCAAGTTAACTGAAAACATTTTTGAATTCAGTCCATGACAATGTCATTCAGTTTCTTTAATTTTTTCCCTCTTTTTATTTACTTTTGATTTACGAACGTTTATTTAAGGGACATTTCTTGACAGCATTTCATTGTGAGCCAATGAAAACATTTTTTAATTTGGTCCATTACAATGTCTATCTCCAAATTAGACAGGCGCCTGACTTTTAATCGTTTCCTATGGTGGAAATACTTCCTTTGATTTGCTCTATCTTAAGGCCAACCTAAGAGGGTACAATCCTAGGGTTTAGGCAATGAGGATACAATCCCAGGCTTTAGGGTAACATATAAGAAACTCCCATGATCCATAATCTAATTTATCAGCAGTAAGAAGTTGAAAATTGCTATTGAGACGCCACGAATTTGCTTTACTTGACATTTTGTGTCAAGCTGGGCTTCCAGCCAAAATAGATCCGGTTCAACTTGTGAACAGTGAGGAAGTTTCCCGCTTGAAACTGGTACTATTCACCAGTTATAAACAAGACTGGACAGGTGTCCTATCACTTGAGAGGTCGATAATTTTCGATGATTGTCCCAACCTCTCGAGTCATTACATTAGGCTATGAAAACACGGAAAAAACATACTTTGCTTTGACAAAGAACGTCTCAAAAGGAAGCGCGAACTTAAAACGTCACAATCTAGTTGACGTACTCTTTCAGTTCTATGCACACCCAACGACCACGGAGAGAGCAGTTAATAACTGGGACATTCTAGAATTAGTGACTACTATCTTTACATAAATACAGAATTTCTCTAAACATAAATGAATTGGACACCATTAAGTCCTATCACCATAACAAATAAAGATAAGATGATTTAACTCAAAATGTGTTATTTAAAAGTAGAAATGCGAATCTGACATTCAACCTGAAGGAGACCAGCAAAAGTGACCGAAACGTCAAGAGACTTTATTTCAGCCCAAAAAAAAATATGGAAGAACAAAGAAAAATGCTTAAAAGCAAGAAATTAGGAATCATGGTAGCAAGTTATGTTGAGATAAAAAAATCAAGAAAGACTTTCGCGCACTTTCCTTATTTAATGGCTCTAGCTTTTGTCGATTCCAGAGAAACATACAATGACAGCGACAAGTTCCAGCTTAATTTTGCAGTCCAATAATCGAACTATAAAATTACATAAAATTCAATTTATAACTTGCTATGTAAATAAGGAGCTTCTGGAAATTTTCTAGAGAGCTTAGTCATGCTATGTGGACTCTAATAAATTCTGATATAATACTCTGGAACTTTTTAGAACATTCTAGTAATTGATGCAAGAATGATTTAATGTTACAAGAGTGTTTATTTTTAAGCTTCTGGAACCTTCTAGAGTGCTTTATATACTAACATAAGCAGTTGGTGACTCAGTAATTTTAGTAGTTGTGGCCGGCAAACCGACTGTTTAAAAAGGCTTTATAGCGCTTTTATGGTTTATTGTAAAAGCTTTCCCACAATATAGAGTTTCGATGACATTCAAAGATAGCGGTGTTTACTGCGAGTTTGTATCGAGATGTTCAGGAGGGCATGGGCCCAGGTTAAATATATTGTAAATGGTGTGGTTAGTTAGGAGACGCTCCTTTGTAATTTATATAAAGTATGGTTAAAAAAATTAGTTGGTTCTTTAAAATAGTTCAGCTAGGGTTTTTTTGTTGTTGTTGTTAAAGCTATACCAAAACAAATTCAGTCTATGACATTAAAGACCGGTCGAACCAGGAGAACGTCAAAAAATTAACAGATAATGAACTCCTCGATCACACGTCGGTTTTCCTTTAAGAATCAGGAGTCTTTTCCTCAATGAGTAAATTACTCATGATGTATCTAAGCTGCTATTTAATCGTTAGGGCGAATAAAAACAGACTATAGAATGATTCAAAGAGAATTTCGTACTGTGTTTCGTCGATCAGTATTGTTATACGGCTTCCTTGACGCTAGATCATAATATCTGTGGTGTCTCTAGAATTGACAACAGGCCTAACCTTTGCTCTAAAACTAATCATTTCACCAAGAAAGTTTTTTCTCTCTGCTGGCAGGTGGCATCTAATCTCTCGTTCGTTTCAGTTTCATAATTAATGCGCGTTATTTTCCGCACACCTAAAGATGAAAATATGAGGATTTCTGGTGCGAAAACCGAAAAAAAAAAACTCTAACTTTACACTTGACGTCGTAAGGATGCAAATTCTATATCCTATTGAAGTTTCTATCGTTAAAATGTTAATTGGTGACGGTACGAGTACAATTCCTTGTCGATTTGAATGAGAATGATGACAAAAAAGTCATTCATTTCTCAGACTTAACGATAATAACACGCCTACATACATACAAAGATTAAAATATTTTAACATAACATTGTGTACAGAGATATGTGAATGTCAATCCCGAACTTAAAATCTCGGAAGGAACTTTTCAGAATTCCCGAAATTCATTTAAATTCGACAGTACCATCTATCACTCAAGTAATAATTCATTTTCGCAAAATACATGCGACAATTATCCAATGTTTTTGTACATGAAAATTAATCTATTTGAAACAAGGGACACCTATAGAGTCAGCCCGTAATTATCAATGACTGGTTGAAAGTGCCATAATGAGTGCTAACTGGCTTTGTAAGTCGTTCGCCATTTGTAAACAAATTTATAACCAAATTCAGCTCATTCAGAGTTTGTGTCCATCTACGGTTTACAGTGCGGCTTCTCAGTCTCGAAACTCCTTCAGATGTCTGACATTGACAAATTCCCCGTAGGTTTAGCGATAGCATTTGTCATCTTTTACTTCGTTGTGTATGTTTTGTCAGTGGTTGGTAACTGTTGGGTTATGGTGACCTGCTACAAAACCCTCAAGAGAAAAGGGTCTTCTTTGATGTGGTTCGTCCTCAACTTAGCAACAGCAGATCTCATTTTCACGTTCCTTACAATCTTCAACGGCATTGGATTTTTGTATCGTTGGGTCGGAGGGGAAATTGTTTGCAAGTTTCACGGGTTTCTGGTCGAGACATGCTACAGTGTTTCCATTAGCACTCTTGTAGTGATCAGTTACGAGAGACTGACAGCCATTACTGACCCCTTAAATGCAAGAGCAAGAAATTTCACAAACAGAGGCTATCGCAGGCTTTTGATAATTTGGGGGGTTTGCCTGATTGGATGTGTTCCCTTAGCAATCCTTTATCAGATGGTTCGCGAAGAAAACGGAGAACTCGTTTGCAATAATACGACGTGGGGAGACGTAGGTCGACAGATTTTCTACAGCCTGCATGCTTTCTTTTTCTTTATCTTTCCACTGTCCTATATGATATTTTCGCAAAGTAAAATATTTCTTGCGCTTCGCTCAAGAAGGACAGTCCCTTCACAGCGAGATGCGGAGAGATCTAACAGACGACACCAGAAAATTGCCAAGACACTTTTTGCTCTTACGGTTGCCTTTGCGATTTGTTGGTCTCCATTTATGATCACCCGAACTTTGATGTATTTTCACATCGCCGAGCCAGGTGCATTATGGAGGATGTCCCAACTGCTCATCTGTCTCAACGCTGTGTTGGATCCCATAATGTATGGTATTTATGGTGGAAATCTCAAAGCAACTTTGCGACAGAAGTGTTGCTTCAGATCTCCTCGTAATAGACTTGAAAGATCAGTTAGCCTAGAAATGTCCCAGACTGCAGTAACATGTGCAGTGCAACCAAATGCAGTGAAAAGGTTATCTTGCAGGATCGAAGAAATGAACACAAGTTGATACTGAATTTGCCTTTCCGCAAAAAACTCCGCGAGAAAAATACCCTCGAATCGGCTCTCCAGCTTGATCATGTTAATAGCTTTTCAGAATAAGATTATAATTTTTTATACTCTTTCAAATTTTTTTCCTTTTTTTTTTCATTTCAAGCAGTTTCTTCTTCTTTCTTTTTTTTTTCATTTGTAACCTTTTTTCTTTCATAATGATCACGTCATTAATTATGTTTCCAAAGGGAAATCGGATGCAATTTCACATAACCGACTTAAACTGTGCGGAACGGTGTAAAAAGTTGCTGATTTTATATTTGTTCTGATGTCGCCATCGGTGCAATTATTTAAGTTGACAATTCTAAATCCACTTAGCGAGGGCTTTTTGTCGCAAGTCTCAGAGGGATACCTTCAAACTGATGGTTGCAACGTAAGAAACGAACGTGTTACAATCTTTAAATGGAGTACTGTCGTTAGAAAGAACAATTTCGTGCCATTCTTGGAGAATCCGCCGATTAATTGTAAATGCAATTTGGCACAGTTGTTTCAGAACGACGGCAAATCCTATCATTAGTCCATGATGATGGGTGGTGAGGGAGAGTATCTCTTAACCCCTTACACGCCAACATAAGTATCCATGTTCTCCACACTGCTCTATTTACATTTCCTTTCAATATGACAAGGAGAATTTATTGAAATATTTTTATTTTTAATTACGATTTGTACTTGCATTATACACCACAAGAGCTCAAAAACTGAACTATATCAAATACCTCTGTATATCTCCGGTTACATGATATGAAATGTTACTGGACTGGCAATAACCGCGTACTTTTTGTTTATATATATCGTGCAACAAACATACTCTATTCCTCCTTGTTGTTGATTCTTACTTCAGCCTGCATAATTGAATAATAATAAAAGTTACTTGCTCGGGGTACATGCGCGTCTGGGACCAAAACAAAATGCGAAAGCTTGAAGCTGGTTTACATTTATATCTGGCCTTCTCAATGCTGAAACCGGCATAACTATTGGTGAGTTGTTCTCCGTTTTAATAGGTAAGCTTACTTTAGTTATCTGAAGACTATATTCTGTTGCTTTATCACGCTAACCCGTTCGAATCGTAAAAGCAAGAAGATGCAACTGTCCGAATGAAATTAGTAGAATTTATGTGCTCTGAGTTTGATCGTCTGTCTAGCCAAGTAATGTTATCAATGAAATAATCGCAAAAATATATTATGAGGGGCTTAGTTTTACTGTGAAACTGAGTTCGGTACATTTAATCCATCGAGAAGACATTATTTTCGTCATGAACATTGAGATTTACATACTGTAAAAAGTCAACGCGAATGCATATTTTAAAATTAAATTTTAGCGTGATTTTGTCACGCTCAGTCATTTTTACTTAGCGCCCTCGCCTTGGAAACACGTTGTCTTGCATGAAGTTGATGACGTTACCTGCAGGACGATATCGACCCACCACAAATGTAAGTCTACCATCACCTGTTTTCGCTCGACCCATTCCTAACTCCTTACTGTCTTTCCACACCACTTGAGTAAAGTGTCCAGTTCCTCCCTGCCATCCACCACGGCGGAAATCATAATCCTTGTACTCGTCGTACCTATTAGAGGAGTTAATTGAATTTACTATGACGTCATTTCCATTGGTCCTTTCGATAAACTTTTGTGAAGTCAAACCGTCTTGAAAACAGTAATATATCAGAAAAAAGGAATATATCATGTAATTTTTTTGACGATAAAGCAGATTCGTGCAAAAAAGTCTGGATGTCGTAAAACGCTTGCAAGCTTTCACAAAGCAAAGCCAAGCGAAATTATGCAATCTTTAATTACTTTCGACACTTAGTCGACACATTTTACAGATATGAGGTTTGTCATTTTTTTTTAAATGATACAGTTTAATTGTCGAGGCAATCAATTGATAAGCCAGGAAATGTGTTTCTTGTAAAATAAAATTCGTTGATGAATGATCTTTTTATTTTTATTTTCAACACCCTCAATGGCCCTTCTGGAATAATTGTTATTAATATCAAAGCCAATATCCTCAGTTAAAAGTCATTGACCGACTTCAATGTGACCAAGGAGCAATTTTGTCAGTTGAGCAAAACTCGTGCTTTCCCATATAGCTTGTATTTAATTTGCCTTCTTCTTTGTTTGCCGTTGCTAGTTTGAAATGATATTTGCTCTTTTCCAAAGTTTTTACTCACCACATAGTGGTAGCTTCTTCTCCTGCAGAATCAAACTTTCCCGTAAACATTGCTAGGTTCTCTCCAGCATTCTTTCTCTCGCTCTTACTCGAATGCTGCAATGTACGTGCACGTGCCAACTTCTCGGCCCAAGCCTGTGCTTCCCTAGCGAGGTCATCCGCCCACTTCATACCCGGCACACCATGCATAGCTCGGTATTTGTTATGACTGTCGAGGGACTGTTTTGCAAAGGATCCTGAAGGAGATGATGTAGCTGAAGCGGAAGGAGTAGGTCTCTCTGCGAAAAAAAAATAAAGCTAGCTGAATTTATTATGCGATATGTATTAGTCAGCCAATGTATTGAACACGTACGTGTTGCACCAACTTGTTGCTCAATTGATACTTCCAGATCAATTTTGGAATCACGCTTGATAGTGCGTTCTTCACGTTTTAGGAGGGCGTCAAAATAAATTCCAGAAACCCCTAGTTGAGCAAGCATGATAGCTATTTTTGTCAGGTGCATGAACTCAATTGTTACGCCATAGGGTCTAATGTTCATTTACTATTTGGAACAACGAATTACAAGATCGCCCACAAACGTACTTGTTAGCACAGAATTCTTTCCCTGCCTTATGCACCTACGGGGTGTCGTAAAACAAAAAGGATGACACAATTTTAATCAATATTTTTCGTCGATTTTGAACTTGTTCCGCGAAAAAAAATTTCTACTAGAAAGCGTACTCAAGTTGGTGAGTTCTACGAGGTCCCTGCTGATGGTTAGCAAGCTTTAAAAAAATTGGACATTGCAAATTTCAACTTGAAATAACGCTTAAAAAAATAGATTAAGGAATTACCTGGTTTTGTTTCCTTCGGTTTTTGACTGCTCCATGAAGGTGAATAAGACGTTGGCTGAGCTAAAATCGTTATGAACAATTCAACAATTAATAATTTCCGTAACTTGAACTGATAAACAAAAATTGTGAAACTATTATCAACCTGTGTGTATGGCAGATGTTATCCGACTACTTTATCAAAAGGTGCTTTGGAACTTCTTCTTGTCACTCAAAGTAATCAATAATTGCAAAAACGTATTTCTGTCAAAGCTATTTCTCCACTCATCCCTTCCAGTGACTGCTATTCCTTCCTCGTAGATTGACTTGGAGAAATTTGGTTTTTTTTTCTTCTTTTTTTTTCAAGACATTATAACCTTCAGTCCTGCAAAAATGTTTATTTTCGGTGTCAGTGTAATATATAATGCTTTGCATGAACTGGGACAAGTGACATGGGTAAAGGGTTAAGGGTTAAGAAAGAGCGTTAAAATATTACCATTTCTCTCCCGCGTGTCCTTCCTATCCTTGAAAGGATCTGTTTTTGTAAAGAATACAGCCATTTGAGATGTGTGAATTAAAAAGTAAACAAGTGCGACATTGGTGAAACGAAAATATTCACCATTTGGCCAAGAAGCAGTCGCTGAGCCTAACACATTTTTTTTAAGGAGTCGGTATCATTTCAATCGATGGTACTTTGATATAATGATACAATTTTCAGACTCTCGATACAAGCAAAAAGGGTCACAGGTTATCCGTTTAAACTCAGCATAGTCCTTTTTTTTACGTTCTTAAAACCTAGCCTTGTTATTCAGTGTAGATTCAAGATAACCTTGTTTGATTTTAACGAGGCCTTAAAACGGGAGCATATTTGTTTACCTCCGCACGAGGAATTTTTCTCTTACACACTCGGTTTGGAATTGGTCTATATGAATTTGGAGCGAGGCCCCCTAGCTCTTTCATAGATTTAACTATGCAGGGCCTCTCAGATCTACAAGTTTGCAGGCTGCAAACTTGTAGATCTGTTTCCTCAGTAATTTCTTCTCTTAATCTTCTTTTAAAACTTCTAATGAGACATCTATGAAATTACCGTTTCGCTCCCATCTCTCCTTTCTATCTTTTAAAGGATCTGTAGAGAAAAATAAGTCTGAGTTGATCGTAGCAGAAATGAGAAAGAGGGCATAGGTAACAAAAAACAAGAGAGCACAAAAAATACTAGCTATAGGTAGAAATGAGAAAGAGGGCATAGGTAACAAAAAACAAGACAGCACAAAAAATACTAGCTATAGGCATTCGAAAATCGCACGCAATTTGTGCCTCAGGATACTTGACATGGGTGAAATGATATACAAACGATATAATAAAAAGGCATTGCGATAAAAAAGACTCAAAGAATCTTACCGTCGTCAAATGCTCTTCTCATATCTCTTGGAAATCTATCAAATGGATCTGAGAAGAAATAGTCGTAAGGACGTGATTTTTTTTTT